ATTTGACTGCAAGTACAAAACTTTAACTCAAATCAATTACATTATTATACAAATTAATTATATTTACATTTGCGTTATATCATGTATCAATAATTGATACATGTTATAGAGAATGAATTAAATGCTATTGTATTGTCGGATACTGTTATTTGAATTACATTCTTATGAATGTTAGTCCTAACGTAAAGGAGAAATCAGGCTCGTTAATCATCAACGTTAATTTCCTACTAGATTGTATCTTACATCTAAATATAACCGTAATCGGTATTTATTAGAAAATCGAAATTCTGGCAATGTAATTTTTAGGAATAAATGTTAATTTATACGTCGGTCTTCTCAATTTCGAGATGAATCCGATTCGTTATTAGATTACCAGTCTTCCTTACATTCAGGAAAGCAACAGTAATATTCATATAATACTACTGGTAATTCTGATGTCTCTCTTATTACGTTTACAGCTATGTCAAATATAGCTTTCAATGGCTGCGCTTCGTACACGTAGGAAGGTGTACAAATGTTTCCACAATAGAAGCAATTCTCGAATTTATTTCTACTTATATATTCATTCAATTTATCCCATCGAAAAATTATATGTTTATCACTGTGAAAACATTGATTTAGTTTATTACATAAATTATCAGTAAGTAGGAACTCGTGTGATATACCTTATTTTTGCTAAATTTACATTATACAGTACACAAGTTAAAAAAAGCAACGTACCTGCAATATTGCTGCAGTGACCTTGCTGCAAACTTAATAAGGCTTGGATACATTATTTTATGAACCCAAATTGGGGGATTGACTACTAATGGATTCATTGAAATATCTATAGTTTGCAGTCGCAAAAAAATGATCCCTGCTGGTAGATACATTAACATGTTATGCGACAAATCCAAAATACTAAGATTTCGAACCTTTTCAATGCCCTGTGGTAAACGTCCCAACAAGTTGTGACTCATTTTCAATTCTACTAATGCATTCAAACTCCAAATGTATTCCGATATTTCGAGCAACTGTAAATTAATGATATTCATGTTGACCGTGCTATTAATGAACTATTAATTGTTATTTATGACAACACCGCTTTGATTAGTGATTGCCGTGATATCTTATAATGACTTACCGAATTGTTACTTATATCTAGAAAATGTAAAGTTCTCTTAATGCGTGCTTCTTTTAGCCATACCCATCCAGAATATCGACTCAAACAATTATGTGATAAATTAAGCCGTCGAAGACAATGAAAAGCGCCCAATGTTCTCGGCAACACATCAATTTTATTACTTGATATGTTCACATGTGTTAAATTTAGCCACATTGTAGTGTTATTCAAGGTCAGAAAGTTCAAGGTCAGTGGATTGCAAAACTTCAAAAGTGCTAAATATATTTTTGTCAAATCTTCTGAGTGAAAACGTTGTCTCTTAATTCGCTTATCTTCAAAAATTACACTGCTTTTTCTCTTACCTCTCTGTATTGAAAATGATTATTTAAATTAGATTTGTAATTGGCAGTCGTTATGCTACAAGTTTAAAATAATCATACTTAATATTATATAAATCTAATACATGTAACTTCTCGAGTGAAGTGATTAATAAGGAATAAAAATATTTTTTATTAATACATATTATAGCAACTATTCACCATTGTGCAAAGACAATATAAGTCTTATATTGTAATTATATATTATTAAGAACCAGATATATTTGTAATTTAGGTTGCTAATAATATACGTTGCTGATATTATACAAAATTTGAAGATCTTTGTTGTGAATATATAAATTGTTCCAAGATTTCTGTAAAAAGTTATAAATGTTATGCGATTTTGATTATTTGATATATTTAAAAGACATATGAATTTTCGTGATTTAGGCTTAACAAACACTTACAAATTATTACATCCAATGTGCCTCACGTTCTGTTTGGGAAATCAAACATTTAGATAAAGAATGGTCTACTGCCTACTGCCTATTGTCTTGTTTTTATGACCCACTTGCTTGTTTTATTGCTGCTTTTGTAGAAAAATTTAGTACTCCATAGACTTGCGTAACTCCTAATTTATAACAGTGCGGTTTTCTATTCTAAATTAGTTAAGGTGATGTTCTGACAGGATCCGCGAGGTAACTGTCGTATTTGATTATTACTTGTTGTTTTATATTAGAGTGACACTGATACAAATGTGAAACAGTATATTGTAAAGGTCGATTTTAAACTAAAGATTATAACTGAAATTAAAATAATAATAACGCGCTCGTTACATTTATTTTTGTAAAAATTCGGTTTTTTGAGACTTATAAATTGTGTTAACTAATTTTCAAAATTTTTATATATAACTAATTTTCAAAATTTATATATATTATATATATAGTTAAATTTAGGTTCAAATGATAATTAGATATTTAAAAGGTACATTATAAGTTACTTATCAGAGTACTGAATATTAAAATCTAAAAACACATATATTATAGAAATTATACAAACTATTCAATATACAAACTATATTAGCGCGACTTAACATATCTTAAGGAACATCTTTTATAACGATAAATACAATATTTTTTCGCGGATAACACAGATTCAAAAATTTGATTCATGTGAATTTATCCAATCTAATCCGTTTTCTCGTTTGCTGAGTTAGGTGCACTTCTGTTAACCACGTTTGACATTTGGTTTACTGATTATGCGATATTTAATTTTGTTGATGTGTGATTATAAAAATTAAACTTTAATTGAAAACAATAATTTGGTTAAGTTACATTATATTATGAGGATAAGTTAGAAATTTTACAGAAAAATTGTGCACCTTTAATTTAACTGTGTCAGAAACAAGAACTACCATCAATCATTATTTCATGACTACCCTAGTTCAGAAATGTTAGGCTGGTTTATTCTGGTTTAATTCAGATAGAAATCTGAGAGTAAAATGGAGTAGAGAGGACATATCCGCGTTTTAGACAAATCTCCTTTTAGTGGCCTTTATGTGGATAAATCGTGTATGTCGAACAGATATTTCTGTGAGTAACATATTGGTAAGTTCGGATCTACAATAGGATTTTATTCCATAAGCCATAAGAAATGGCAGAATCACAGTCGCTTATTCTACTCGGATTCGAATGTAATTGGTCAATTTCTTACAGCTTAAGGCTTAAAACACCTATTGTAGATCCGGAGTAATAAATACGTTCCGATATATGAATGCATCATTTGTTCGTGTTGCTCGTTAAATAATAAAGAAAGATGAAATGACATAATCTGAGAGTATAAAATCGAGTAGAGAGGACATATCCGCGTTTTTGACAAATCTCCTTTTAGTAACGCCTTTATGTGGACAAATCGTGTATGTCGAACAGATATTTCTGTGAGTAACATATTGGTAAGTCCGGATCTACAATAGGATTTTATTCCATAAGCCATAAGAAATGGCAGAATCACAGTCGCTTATTCTACTCGGATTCGAATGTAATTGGTCAATTTCTTACAGCTTAAGGCTTAAAACACCTATTGTAGATCCGGAGTAATAAATACGTTCCGATATATGAATGCATCATTTGTTCGTGTTGCTCGTTAAATAATAAAGAAAGATGAAATGACATCATGCGCTTCATGCGTACGTCGGAACGCAGCCATGTGTGGCCATAACACGGAATAGAACCAAACAAAAAACTAAGTTACGAAGACTGTATGTCCAGTTTCAAGCTTAAAATATTGACAATGTATATAGTGCAAATATATAACTTTTCTAATAAATAACTGAATAATAAGAAATAAAATTACTCAACATTATATACTGCATTACGTATTATACGCGCGCGTATAATCTCACCATCAAACTTATTATTATATATAATTGTGATTCGTAAACCAATAACTTTTGTACATATTCTGAGTTGTTAATAATAATATTGTAAGAGTTGAAATAATATTTATTATAAACAATTATACTTAAGAAAATTTTTACCGATTTATAATTAATTTACACACACAAATTTTATTCTTAAATTTTTTCAACGAAATTATATTGAATATGATGTTTTATCAAGATCAGTCTCTTACTGTCATACTTTATTATGTATTGCCTTATAAGTTAGATTGACGGTAATAGAACTAAATGTTTAACACAGAAAGGAGATCATTATTTGAAATTTTAAATTATAACTTAAATTAAATGATTGTATGATAACGTTATTATTTTTCATGAAATTATACTAAAAATAATAATAAATCAATAAATATAGGTAATTCATAAAAAGCATATTTAATATTAAAAAGTGCCAATCTTCTTTATACCGTGAAGATATTTATATATAAATATATATATTTGTTTATTGTAAGAGTACATTTAATTATTCTAATGCTCTTGGTTTTGTTATATCTAATTAATATAATCATACGTATAAAATGAAGGTATTTGTGATCCAATGTATTCAAATACAGATAAAATTATTTATATTTATTTTATTA